GGCGGCCTGCTTGCCATGTGATTGATTGATTGATAAAGATTAAGCCACCCAAGAGGTGGCACGGGCATGAATAGCCCGTAACACAAGCTTGCCATGTTTACTACCGCTGCTTATATGCTCGGGCAACACCTCACCGTGTTGCCCAGGCAATGCCTCACCTCATTCATCTCCAAAGGTTGACAGTACCTGGTTGATACCTGGTTGATGGGGTTCTGGGAGTTCTTCTACTCCCCAAGCCCGGCCCGAGGCCAGGCTCGACTTGTGAGAGTTTGGTCCACCAGGCTGTTGCTTGGAGCGGCCCGCAGGCCCACATACCCACCACAGCCCGGTTGGTCCGGCACTCCTTGGAGGAATAAATCTAGTTTCCTCTTGAAAATGTCCACGGTTGTTCCGGCAATATTTCTTATGCTTGCTGGGAGGACGTTGAACAACCGCGGACCTCTGATGTTTATACAGTGTTCTCTGATTGTGCCTATGGCACCTCTGCTCTTCATTGGTTCTATTCTACATTTTCTTCCATGTCGTTCACTCCAGTACGTTGTTATTTTACTGTGTAGATTTGGTACTTGGCCCTCCAGTATCTTCCAGGTGTATATTATTTGATATCTCTCTCGTCTTCTTTCTAGTGAGTACATTTGGAGGGCTTTGAGACGATCCCAATAATTTAGGTGCTTTATTGCGTCTATGCGTGCCGTATATGTTCTCTGTATTCCCTCTATTTCAGCAATCTCTCCTGCTTTGAAGGGGGAAGTGAGTACTGAGCAGTACTCAAGACGGGACAACACAAGTGCCTTGAAGAGTACAACCATTGTGATGGGATCCCTGGATTTGAAAGTTCTCGTAATCCATCCTATCATTTTTCTGGCTGTCGCAATATTTGCTTGGTTATGCTCCTTAAACGTTAGGTCGTCCGACATTATTATTCCCAAATCCTTTACATGCTGTTTTCCTACTATGGGTACATTTGATTGTGTTTTGTACTCTGTATTATGTTTAAGGTCCTCATTTTTACCGTACCTGAGTACCTGGAATTTATCACTGTTAAACATCATGTTATTTTCTGATGCCCAGTCGAAAACTTTATTAATATCAGCTTGAAGTTTTTCAATGTCCTCAGCCGAGGTAATTTTCATACTGATTTTTGTGTCATCTGCAAAGGATGATACGAAGCTGTGACTTGTATTTTTGTCTATATCTGATATGAGAATAAGGAAAAGCAGTGGTGCAAGGACTGTACCCTGAGGTACAGAGCTTTTCACTGCACTTGGACTAGATTTTATATGGTTGACAGTTACTCGCTGAGTCCTGTTTGACAGAAAACTGAGTATCCAGCGTCCTACTTTACCGGTTATTCCCATTGACTTCATTTTGTGTGCTATCACGCCATGGTCACATTTATCGAAGGCCTTTGCGAAGTCCGTGTATATCACATCAGCATTCTGTTTCTCTTCTAATGCCTCAGTGACTTTGTCGTAGTGCTCAAGTAGCTGTGAGAGGCACGATCTTCCCGCTCGAAATCCATGTTGGCCTGGGTTATGAAGGTCATTGGTCTCCATGAAATTGGTGACCTGACTCCTAATCACTCTCTCAAATACTTTTATGATGTGCGATGTTAGTGCAACTGGTCTATAATTTTTTGCCAATGCTTTGCTCCCTCCCTTGTGTAGAGGGGCTATGTCTGCTACTTTAAGTGCATCTGGTATCTCCCCCGTGTCCAAGCTCTTCCTCCACACTATACTGAGTGCCTGTGCTACCGGCACTTTGCATTTCTTTATAAATATTGAATTCCATGAGTCTGGACCTGGGGCCGAGTGCATGGGCATGTTTTCAATTTCTTTTTCAAAATTTAGTGCGCTCGTGTTTATATCAGTTATATTTACCGGGGTTTGAATATCCCGCATAAAGAAAATGTCTGGATCTTCCACCTTCATGTTGTTTATTGGAGTGCTAAACATGTCCTCATACTGCTTTTTTAGGATTTCACTAATTTCTTTGTCATCCTCCGTGTATGAACCTTCACTTGTACGAATAGGTCCAATACTGGCAGTGGTTTTTGCTTTTGATTTCGCATATGAGAAGAAATATTTTGGATTTTTCTTTATTTCCTGAATTGCTTTCTGTTCTAACTGCCTTTCTTCAGTTTCATATGAGTGTTTCAATTTCCGCTCGATTTCTTCAATCTCCCTATTTAAATTATTCCTTCTTTGACGGGAAATTCGTGTCTGCATAAGCAGTTCCGTTATTTTTTTCCTGCGTTTATAGTGTCGTCTGCGTTCTCTTTCTACGTTAGATCTCTTTCTGGCTTTCCTCAAAGGAACATGTTTCAGACAGACTTGATACGCTTCTGAAGTAAGTTTTTCTATTCCTTCTGTAGGACTTGTATTATTTAGAACAGTTCCCCATGGAATGTTTGTAAGTTCCCTGTTTATTATCTCCCAGTCTATCCTTTTATTATTAAAATTGAATTTACTGAATAGCCCCTCTCGCTTTATCAACGTTTTAGGTCTATTCTGAGTATTGATGGTCGTTTGCACTTCAATGAGTTTGTGATCTGAGTATGTGGTATCTGATATCGTAATGTCTCTGATAATGTCTTCATTGTTCGTAAAGACCAGATCTAGAATATTTTCATTTCTCGTTGGCTCCGATATCTGCTGATTGAGTGAAAATTTGTCACAGAATCTAAGTAGTTCTCTAATCTGTGGTTGGTTAGGTCCTGATAGATTTCCTGGTATAATATTATTGTTTGCTATTTTCCACCTGAGACTAGGCAAGTTGAAGTCACCTAGGAAAATAATATCAGGTATCGGGTTCTCCAAATTATCAAGGCTATTCTCTATTTTGCTTATCTGTTCTGTGAATTCCTCAGCCGTTGCATCTGGCGGTTTGTATATTAGTATAATCACTAAATTTATTTTCTCTATTTTTAATCCCAGTACCTCTACCACCTCATTTGTAACGTTTAGGAGCTCCGAGCATACAAGGTCTTCCCTAATATACAGACCCACTCCTCCATGTGACCTAATTTTCCTATCACACCTGTATAGGTTATATCCTGGAATCCAGATCTCACTGTCCAACAATTCCCCTGCATGGGTTTCTGTGAAAGCTCCAAATACTGCATTTGACTCCGTGAGGAGGCCATTTATGAACTGTACTTTGTTGTTTGTTCTTGTTTTCAGTCCTTGTATGTTGGCAAAGATGAATGAGGTTACTCTATTAGTGATAGTTTGAATGGGAGACTTTTTCGGCACGTCCATTAATCGTGGACATAATGAGTTTGTTCTGACCAGTACTGATTGTTGTAGGGCAGTTTTCTGTCGTAGTTGTAGTTCCCTTTCGGTGGGTAATTGTATCTGTAATTCTGGAATGCCAGTGGATCTGTCATCCAGTCCCATACACTCTCCATGCTGCTCCTTTTGAATTCTCTGCCGGTCTGGTATAAAAAATTTATAGAGTTTCCTCCAAATTCATTATCCTGCTTGCCACTCTTTATGTAGCGTTCCGTGCCTTTCACGTGAAAGTGTGGGCAGCTAAGGTCATAGCATTTTCTGTCCTCCAGTGAGGTTTGGCACATGTCAGGATGGAAAAACCTACATATTGATCCAAATCGACACTCACCTTTCCTAAGCATATTTAAACATTTTTGGGATGTTGGTAACTGCATTCTAATCCTTTCTTATTACCAGCATATCTATGTCTGCATATGCCCTTTGCATAAAATTTGCATAAGTCTGTCCTTCTGTTCTGAATTGCTCTATCGAGAACCGTCGTGGTGTCTGTACCTATCGAGCTGTCAGGTACACTTTCTAGTTTAATGTCATCTACATCCAGGCCTACTGAGTCAGAGTTTGCAACTTCCTGAGTTTCAGCCTCAGTTTCATCCCTGACTATAGCCTCCGCCCCTTGTATATTAGAATTGTTGTTCCTTTCCCACTCCTTCTGGATGGCTGGTAGGCTTCCAATGAATGATGTTTTCCGTTCATGCGTCATGTTATCTAGAAGGTTTTTTAGGATATTCCAAGCTGGCAGGTCATTTTTACACACCCAGAGCAAGTGGCCATCTCTCAGTGCCGTAGTGTTACTCACTCCTGTACAAGCCGAATGGAATCTAGTCTTACAGATATAACATTCAATTCCCGTTACCTTCGTCTTTAAGAAGTTGTTACAGTGGCCACAAATTTGTTTATTTACTCCCATATTGCCTTGTTTTGTTGTATATATCTATATATTTATAATATTATATGTATATTGTATATTTGTAACAATATATATGTATATATATTTATATGTTTAATATTATAATATTATATGTATATCGTATATTTGTAATATTATGTATGTTATTTTGTTCAAACTTTATGGCAGGTACTTAGCGTAGGTAGCGAGGCTGGTCCCCCGGTCAGTACAGGTGACCTCTTGTGGCCCAGGTTGATGTCACCAGTTTCCAGTTACCCGATTTATAACCACTGATGCCGCCTCTTGCCACTATTCTATATTTCTAGTGTTCTATATTTATAATATTCACTTCCAACTTATATGTTGTTGTGATACCCGTTCCACATCACTGTTCCACGAATCACCGTTCACTATTTTTTTTGTTTCGTTTTTTTTTATCCTAATACACGCATGTACACAAAGCCTCGTTCACTGGCTCACACGTGGTCTCCCGTTTATTCTCTATTTAACACAAAGTTCTATTGTTAATGACTATTTTCAATTTTCCAGCGGTCACTATGCACTTTGTTATGTCTGTAATCAGTAATCCACGGCAGTAGTCCTACGAATCCCTGTTAATGTCACGATTTTAACGGAGCGCCCACGGTACGTCTACCCCCTCCCTCGACCTCGACTCGACCTCTATACCAATCAAACGGTAAACTATCACAGTGATATTTATAATCTCTGCATTCTGATATATTTTTTATTTATCTAAATATTATCTCCAATAGTACCTATCAATAAAAATGCTTAGCATATTGTAGGATATTAAAATAACATTTCAAGTATTCTTTCTATTATAAAACCTTGACAGAATTTGTTACATTTATTCCAAATACATTATATAAGAATGCAGCAACATTCTAACAAACTTCAACTTAATTAGTCTAAGTGCCATGGCTCTTCACAATTCTGGGGCCCACACATTAGATGAAGTATACAGAAAACACATTAAGCACAAACAACATAATGGTGCCATTTCTGAAATCCAATATCAAACATGGATTGCAATTTAATTCATACCAGACCGTTGCTATCCAGTAATGGTGTGGTGAGAATCGCAGAATGTAGTAGTGCCGAGCTCAAGACCAACATGGAAAAGGTATACGCTCCCAAAGGCTCAGATGGTTTCCCAGTTAACCAAAGTACTATGCTATTTAAGAATTATTTAAAAATGAAATAATAAAAAATGATAAAAGCAGTAGGGCAACATTTTTTCAGTGATGATGATGATATTGCAAATTTGCAACTTGCTTAAAAGTACCAGAAATAGTGAGCCACACCAGGCAAACACAAATATATTCTTTGACAATTAAAGGCTCATGGTTAGATTTGACAACATTGATCATACCAATACCATCATAATGTAAATAATGTGACGGCAACTCTCAACAAACGAGTGGGCCCCAAAATACCTTTAGCAGTGAAAGAGAAGACAATGGTAGATAAAGCACAAGCTAAGTTCTTTTTTTCATGGGTTACTCTGTGTAGCACCATTACCTCCAACCACCTGTCAACAAAACAATTATCTTAGGCTTTCCTGTTAATCTTAGTCATATAAAATATTTTATAATATAGTAATCTTAAAAACATCAATGAAATGAGAGAATCTTCAGTGCAATACAAGTGATATCTGGGTAAATTAGAAGCAAGGTGAGACTAACATGACCATTCCACTTAACCCGACATGTGTGACCTCCTTTATCAAATAAACACTAGACCTATATACAGTCTTGTATTTGGTAAAGAACAAAAACTTAGGATGAACTCTAGACATTTCCATCCATCCTCGACCATTAAGAAGTAGAATTTTCTTCATGGTTTTCATAGAAGAACTCAAATGCCGTAAGTTTCTTTTACTTTTCCCTTACGTGTGGGTTTTACGTTAACTATTGAAGCCATATTATCAGGATGTTTTTACTGTTATAATGTTTTTATTCTACCAATCTTGTAACACACCTTCCATTCAAAGGAGTCAATTGCTTGTTCATCACCACCAACTCCTACATTCCCAAGTGAACTAATCAACTTTTAGCTTCTGATATTATTTCTTCTCTATTACATCTCTGAAAGGTGCAATCATCCTATTACTTACCAACCTACCTTACCTCACATGGAACAATCTAGTGATCAAACAATACTGTTTTACTTTGGATATTCCCTCTAAGATCTCCTCTCGACAAAACAACCCCAATAAATACTGTACCAGCAAGAACTAGTCGCGGTCCCGGCGGTGGATGTTCTGGTTGTCTCTGTCTCGACCACCTCGGCGATCACCCCAATTTCCCTTCTCCCGACGGTCACGGTACCCACCACCCTGAAACCAAAGAACTTATTAATAAAGATCTAAAACATACATACATCTGTATAATAAAGAAAGGCAGTGTACAACCTGTAACAAGGCAAACAGCATGTATGTACATACAATACTGTATCAATGCAAGAAAAATGTGGATAAGAATTTTAGTAAAGTTGGAAACAATTATTATAGGACACAGGTGGAAACTAATTATACAAAGTCTGACGGACACAAACAAGTAGTCCTCCAGAATGAGGGTAGTAAACAAATGCAGTGAACTTGTAGTCGTACATGGCTAACTTCACTTACAGATTCAAGTGTAGATTAGCAAAATGGTCATGATTTATTGTACCCCAGAACTGATAAGGGTGGGAACCTAACAGTTAGATTTCATTCTCTACAAACAAATGACTAAGAACATGTACACTTAAAAATCTGATATGTATGAGAACCAAAGCATTCTAATAACTTACCCAACAGCTATAGGAATTGTGAATATTAATTAACACTTTCGCTTGGTAATGGCGCAGTATGGCATCCAAAATTTAGTAGACGAATGTACGTTAACAACTCAGTATGGCTTCAAAAAGTAATATATTTGCTAAAATTCAGGTTTTTATCCGATTTTTGGGGGACTAATTTTAAAATGTGCGCCAACGACTTCCTGTTTTCCTTGATAGGCTATGTGGCACCCAGGTGCGCGACCCACGCCGTAGGCCCATTGTTTTTGCCCCACACTCTTGACCGGTCCTGCTTCCTCTCGCCTGTAAGCATTTCTATTACCCTCCCCTCGTGTCGCAAACCTCCCCAAACCCATATTTTCTATTACTTAATACTTTTAGTATACAAGATGCCCATTTGTATGTCATAACTCCTCTCAGCTACAGTGCCTTATCTAGCACTGGAGGTGGCGGAAATGTGATGAACTCCTCTTCGAGACATTTTTGTGCTGCAGGTCTGTTCCACCATTAATTTATTATTATACTAAAAACTATATTTGTATTTCCTTTAAATTTGTTATTATAATTTTGAGTCATGGCCATCCCCACCCACTCTTTGCTTCACAATCGTTAATAAGATGAAATCCTGACTCATTTATTGTTAGCACAATAATTTCCCAAGAACTATATTGCAAACAAGAGATTAATGATCAACTATGCTAGTGCTACCAAAAAATTTGACTGCGTACCTGCATGCCGCGGGTGAAAAAGGGCTTCTGGTCAAGAACACGTTCATTGTTCTCAACCAGATTGTAAAGTTTGTCAGCTAATTGCAGTGACAATGACTGCAGGGACGAAGGTTCGGTACGATGCATCACCAAGCACGAAGTTGGTTCATCCAGAGAAGCCTGAAACAAAAGTAGGTAGAATAGTGTGCATTAAACTTTTTATCGACTCTAATAATATTTATATTCAACATTCACAAATATAAACATTCCCAATTCTGTGAAAAATAAATTAGGGAATGCATATGAATGAGCATTGTTGTGAGCCAGTCTCACCTTGTTATTCTTAACAAAGGCAACCACTGTATCATTCGCTATCCTTTGACTTCCTCAACTCCTAACTTTCCACAAATTATTCCCAATAACACACATGACGATACATAAATGGCTCAAATGCTTCTCCATTCACTCTAGTTCCAGTCATCCTCACCGCCAGCATTACTTTACTATTGTTCGAATTAACTTTTAGCAGCCTTGTCTCGGGTACATGCATCAACGAAACTTTAAACCAATCTATATATGTACATTGCTACCATTCAGTGCTAGCAATCCTACAAATTTAATATTAGATCCATCTGTTTCTATCATACACTAAGTCCATAACCATCTTTAATATTCCATACCATCACCTCCCTCATAAGCCCAGAGAGGATATGTCCAACCCTGATATATCCCACAATAATATTTGACAATTTTAAACTTAAAAAACATGCATGTACTTACCATAATTTCTTCATTAATAATCATTTTGCTGATGATTGCATGAACAGTACTGTGCGGGAGCTCAAACATTTCCGATAATTTGATGAGAGAGATGGAGTCATAAACATGAGAGTAAGTGAAGAGATACGTGCGCAGACTCTCCTCCTGTATCTTCCCACCTAACATCTTGCGGACTCTGTCAGCTTCGTGGAACAGGTCCCATACCTTGGCATTCATCTTGTCATTTAGCAGCAGATTCCTACAATCATAAAAGTTATTAATGCTTTAAGTTATTTGAAGGCAGATATGACTTCAGTTACAAATAGGATACAAAAAGTTATTTTCTGGTCTCCCACAATATACAATTTGATTTAATTGTAAGCCTACATAACTTTTCCTTGCCACTTAGGCAAGGAAAATCCGGGTCCCTGTGTGGGCTTATATACAGGCTGCTCCGTGCTAAGTGTGTGTGTTCCAATGAGCTGAATGGGGGTGCACTGTTCATCCACACTGGGTAAAGGTGATGGTCAAAGATTTCTGTTAGAGTGAAGTAAAGTTTATGAAAGAGGTTAGTGAACAAAACTGAAGAGTTTATGCACAAAGGCTGCATATATACTAGCAGGTCAACTGATAACTAGGAAAGCCCTCTCCTGGCAGTAACCCATACTGTAAGACAGTTCAAGAGGGATTAATTTTATGGACATTTGTCAATTATTCTGGGCCAAGTTCAACTGTGATTCCTTAGCAACTATAATGCCCCAGCAGGGACTCCCAGAAAAATTCCTTGTGGTGCCACTACCGAGTATGTCGTCCTACCAAGTGTGATTCCATTACCTTGGGAAGCAGCTGAATGCGATACTTTTAAATCCTATTTATCTGGAACTATCAACATGCTAAGATACCTTGTGGAGGTTCTGGGGATCAACGGCCCCATCTGCGACCAGACCGGAGGTTGGCCATTTTGTCTACCAGGCTGTTGGACATGGCTGTTTGCAGCCTGACATGAATAACAGCCTAGTTGATCAGGTAATCATTGGAGGTGTTTGTTGAGTGTTGCCTACTAATACTTGTTTTATCAATACTGTATAGTGAATTTGGAGAAAGGGAGCGGGATGAGGGGAGTATTTCACATACCTGCACTGCTTCCAGTTACCATTGCGCATCGCCTTGGAAGCGGCAACAACATGTTCCCTCATGCTCTCTGGTGGCCCAACTAATGACTGGCGCTCAGAATTCTTTAGTTGATGATGGAAGGACTTTGAAATCATGCGTCGGCGAGCATCGAACTCGTGAGCAGCCATATAAGGAATCTCAATAAGCATAGCAGACACCAGATACACACATTCCAACATCTGTTGATAAGACATGGACATAACCAGAAAGTTTAATATCAAGGTACATTATACAAGTTAATTGATATACTGTACAGTAAATGATTTCTCTAAATAAAATATGGACAGATGTAGAGTAAACATTACAGTAAACATTCTCAATTTAAGAAAAAAATCGCAGGCACCATTCCATTCAGTACTGATGCCTGGTCATGAAGGCATCAGTACAGAGTGAGCAACCAAAATTTAGTACGAGCTAACAGCACGGCTGTTCAGCGTGTGGCCACAGCATCACTTAAAAAAAGATAAATAAATAAATAACTAAATATATATGTAACTTCTTATTTAGTGACAGTAGTATTATAGAAGAGCCTGACTGATAATGATCGTGTACAATGTTCAGATATCAGTGAACACAATGTGGTTCACAGTGCTAGGCAAGCAGCCATAGCACTTGCCCTTGTTTGGTCCATCTAAGCATCTTTAAATGACTTCTCATGTTCTTTTACAAAATAATCTTTTGGAAAATTATTCATTTACATGAGTTAGTGAAGAGGATTCTGATAATAGCAACACAGTGCCAAGAATTATCAATTAGCATAGTATGGTGGGAGGAGGATTCTTGCCGAGTGAGGCAGCCGATTTTATTTCAAACCAACTCCCGCACTGCACACCAACTTCCCCTCACAACCTGTGTGTTCTCTGTGCACAACTCGTGATGTAACAATTCAGAGCATTCGTGGAGCAATTGCCCGAGCAGACGTTGCCCTAAACCAGGAATAGAGCTGGAAATTGCCATGATGATATTTTTACATTTATTTCAACATCAATTAGTTTTTCACTGATTCTCTGCAGTAATATTATTCAATAGTGTGTCTTTCGAGACAGTTATATAATGTATGGAATATCAGGATGTTTAAAAAAGAAATATATATCTGAAAATACACTTAAAAGAGAAAGACTTGGCGCCCTTGAAATAAATCGAGCAAACACCGAGGCACAAGGGGCCAGATTCACGAAGCAGTTACGGACAAACCCACAGCACGCGGGACTTGTGATCCTGTGGTCCCGGGTTCGATCCCAGGCGCCGGCGAGAAACAATGGGCAGAGTTTCTTTCACCCTGTGCCCCTGTTACCTAGCAGTAAAATAGGTACCTGGGTGTTAGTCAGCTGTCACGGACTGCTTCCTGGGGGTGGAGGCCTGGTCGAGGACCAGGCCGTGGGGACACTAAAAGCCCCGAAATCATCTCAAGATAACCTGTACATCTTTTCGCAATCTTTGGCAACTTTATTTACAATTATTTAACAGTTAATGAGCTCCGAAGCACCAGGAGGCTGTTTATAAAAACAATCGATTGGGAAGTTTTCATGCTTGTAAACTTAAATAAGTGTAACCAGAGCCATCAAAGATTGAGGAAAGATGTACACATTCGTAAGTACTTTATGAATCTGGACCAAGGTGTGCAGGGGGACACGAGTCAAGGATATTAGTAAAACTCTTTGTAAGTGTGCAGGTGATACGTAAGTGGAAAGCATCATGACAATATCTATGCAACCTCCATCTAATTTCAGGAGAATGCATAGTATACAAGATGGAAAAAAAGGGGGAAAAAAAAAAAAACAGGTATCACCGGATAAGAGGACAAGAGGAATAAATATGATGAATTTTACATCTCAAAAAAAATATGGTATATAAACATTCATATACTGAATAAAAACCTATATAAACATTAAACAATTCACTCACTTCAAGATTGATATGCTGATGGAATGGGATCTGCCGCTGTTTCTCCTGCTTCTCTTGTTCAGTAGTCCGCTCGTGCTGGCGCTGTTTGTAAAAATAATCATGTTACACCTGTGTTTTATACTAAACATCATATATATCACTTCTTTAATCAGTATTATCAACGACATCACAGGTCAGGAGAACGAAAGTATTATTCATCACATTCACGTACATTAAATTATATTAAAATATGGTGTAAATTCACTACTCATCATATTATTACACACCTGAGGCAGCAGACCTTGAGCTAGCAATTCCTTGGCTCTTCCACCAGACTGAATGTCTAATAAAGCATTGTGCGCTTCCTTAATATTGCCATGACGGAAGGCACACAACCCTAGTTGAACCATGGTGCGGTTGTACAGAATTTGGGTGGGCAGATCTGAATGATGTATGGTTTCCTAGTGAAAAAAAATTACAGTACCGTTTAAAAATGTGCATAATAACAAACCATATTAAAATTAAATCAAAGTTTGGAAGCACCCACCCGATGTTGACATCCCATTCCCTTAAATATCAAGGGACAGACATTCAGCATCAAGCAATCTACTCTGTTACAATAAACCAAATACACCTTTTATGTTTGGCCATAATGACGATACTTTACAAATGAGTGGAAAAACATTAAAAGTAGCACATTTTTTATACTGGCCAGCAGACAAAGTAAATATGTTGATATTCAACACTAAATAAAATCCAAAATGGATTCCAAGATGAGCATCAAACGCCAACATTTCTTGCAATTATGACAAAATATAAGGGAAACTGCATCTCTGAAACTAACAGGGTTGTATACATGAAAATGTATATAAAACATTTCCAAAACATTCTATTCAAAATTTAACCATCCAACCTTTCCCTCCCGAATGATACTACATCACACTATGACAGGAAAGTCCTTCGAGACTTCAAAAAGCTGAAAGTTACAAACCAATGTATGACATTTTCTGCAGATCATACAAATAGCACAAATTTTAGTAAACAAACATACAGCAATTCACATTAACCATAAGATATTTCAACTAATGATATCTATTAAACTAATTGAGTCTACATTACTAACCTGTAAATGGGCCATAAGCATAAGGTCTCGGGCTTCATACCACTTGTCATGGAGAGACATGTGGTAGATGTGACACAACACAGCACGCGTACGCAGACGATCCGTATTGTCTCGTACATATATATATTTGCATAGTCTATCCATCTCTGCTAGGCTTGTATCATCTGTTACTGGCAGTTCACCCTTGAGGACAAAATTATGAAACAAATAACATTTTTTAATCATAAAAATATTTATAATTAAAACTCAAGTGAACTAACTACATGCCATAAACAGTAAGATTATTGATTAACAAAAACAATAACATGAAATACAAGGATTAGTGCAGGCATAAACCTTGCCGATAAAGCAGTTGCATATGTGCAATGAATGTTGCAATAAGATAAATCTATAAAACGAGTTCTATAAATCTACAGAGCTCATCGTTGTTCTCCAACAATTTGTGCAAGCAATAAAATCAGCAATGTAAATACTTACCAGAGTTTGCTTTGCAGCACGAGGTTCATATTTGTAGTATAGATGCTCTATCTTCCTTAAATAGACCCTGCATATATCAGCAGGCATTCCATGTTCCTCTTCGTATTTCAAAAGCTTATCGATGATGGCACAAACTCGAATTTCATCCCGAAGACTAACAATGTACTCATTGCTGTGGGCATCACAAGCCTACAAACCAAAAATATATTTGCCTTAAAAATATTGACAAATCAAAGACTAATTTTTTATTCTTGCTCTTATACTACAACAGTTGTAATGTTTATACAATGCAAGTCTGTTATATACAAGTTAATCCAGAATATCTTTAATAACATTTATAATTTAAACAATTATTGAACTCAAGACTCAAAATTTAGACAAATGGACTAGCTACAAGACTAAGAAACATTAAAGCACCAACACATGGATTTTTTAAACATTTTTATTTATAAACATTATTGAAAAACAATGCTAAAATGCCAGCAGTGATTTGTGAGAGAATCTACCTCTTTGAGCATCTAAAACTCCCACCTAGTGACCCGTTACTTGGATTCAAATTTAGACTCACTTTTAACCTGTAATGGTATAGATTCTACTAACTCTACCATAATTCGGACAACGGCACATAGAGCTGACCATCACATACCTTCAGCAACTTTATGAATTCTTCATCCATACGATCAACGATGGTGAGAACACAGCCACGAACAAGTAGAGGCGGCTTTTCAAGACTCTCAGTCTCTTCTGTTACATGTTCTCCAATGGCCAAATCTGGATTGGCAACAAGCATGTCTAACAGCTCATCAATTTTGATTAAAACCTGAGAAAAAAAATGCAAAGTTACTACAATCTCACATGTAAGATAATGTAGAAGAATATTAATATCTCAAGAAATTGCAGCCTTTGCCTAACTTTCACAAACACCCCCTTCAAACATTTCTATTGAAGACTAATTCTAACCTACAGGAAAAACAAATAAATATAAAATACAAGCAAACCTTATAAAAACCCAGTTCAAAATAAATAGTAAATTATGTATGTTTGGACAGTAAACCAACCCCCCCCCCCAAGGTATTCTCAGCCCGTATGTCCCACATTTACAATACAAAGTAACTATACTGTATGTGGAGGTTCCAGAGGAGCAGTTGGTGGTGGGAGTAACTATACTGTATGTGGAGGTTCCAGAGGAGCAGTTGGTGGTGGGAGTAACTATACTGTATGTGGAGGTTCCAGAGGAGCAGTTGGTGGTGGGAGTAACTATACTGTATGTGGAGGTTCCAGAGGAGCAGTTGGTGGTGGGAGTAACTATACTGTGTGTGGAGGTTCTAGAGGAGCAGTTGGTGGTGGGAGTAACTATACTGTATGTGGAGGTTCCAGAGGAGCAGTTGGTGGTGGGAGTAACTATACTGTGTGTGGAGGTTCTAGAGGAGCAGTTGGTGGTGGGAGTAACTATACTGTGTGTGGAGGTTCCAGAGGAGCAGTTGGTGGTGGTGGTAATTAACACTTTGGCATCCTGTTGACGCTTCCAGCATCATTAAGACAATAGACGCAGAGTGGGCGATGACGCTCTCGGCGTCATGCATTTATTTTTGCTTATTCTTATTATTAAGCATAAACCTTGTGAGTGAAAGAGTATAACACTGGGTTGTGCGCTCACTGGCAATGCCCGGCATACCTTCCAGTGCGATGCTGGAGGCCCGCCAGGCCAGCCAAAGTGTTACAATTTTGAGTGGTGGTTGTTGATGTATAGGGAGGGAAAATATAGTACTGTACAGGGAGGAACCAAGTGAAGTATAATGAACCGTTACAAAAAATACAATGAATATATTGTGTAGATAAATATATTACTGTGTTGAGAAATATATTAGTATAATGAGTTCAGGAATGTAATTAGTTCTGTAATTTATATCCTGAATTACTACCTTTGTAGAGTACACTCAAATATTTACATACCTTCTCCCAGAACTCCACTTTCATGGGGTCGGACACAGAAGGATTGTAATCATACACGGACATAATAATGCTGAACTGAACCTTGACCAGTATAGCATGACCAAGAGCATTGTCCCGTGCAACGTTAAGCAGCTCGTGGAGAAGCTCAATTTGCTCCTTACGATCTGTTCCCTTCTTGCCACGAGCTGCCATGATCTCATTCAACTTTTTGTGAACCGAGTTTATATTAATCTCATCATCCTTGCCAAACATCTTTGGTTTTTCCTGAAGAAAGAAAGTTTTATAACATTATAAAGAGGCTGATGAATAAATTTGTTTTGTAGGGATTTCGGAGTAAAACAATTTTCGTCAGTTTAAGAATCTTCAATTTTGAAATGATGCGAGCCAGGCGCATCTCAGATGAACCCTTATACGTCAGATGATGCAAGCCATCATCGAACGGTTAATCCTTAATATAACAGAGTTGATGACAAAACAGAGGTAAATAAAGTTTGTGATAACCATACACAAGCCATCAACTTACCATGGGCATCGATGACCCTTTCTTTACCGTCTCCCATCCTCCGTCATCGTCACTGTCTTCATCCTTGGCCTTGTTCTCTCGAGGCAGCCTCTTCTTCTTCTTCTTAATGTCATCATCATCCCTGTCTGTTGTTTTCTTCAAGAACTTCTCTCTGAAATATTGGGTTATCCATCAAACACAATTCATAATCGCCAATATGTGACCAACGCTTAGCCAAAACCAACATACAGTTCATTCCAAGATATTCTCTTGACATTTTGGCAGTGTATCTTAACTATTCTTGTGATAAATAATAATCTAATTGTCGAGGGCAGACGTGCACAATCACATTACCAGCAACCAAAAGTATGGGGAACATTCCTAGACATCAGAGCATGTAAACAAGTTTTGGTTAAGTATGCCAAATCATTTTTGCGAGATCACTTAACATTTTTTCCCTATTCCCCACTCTGACAATTTAAAAAAATAATAATAAAAAAATGACCTGCATTATACCAAATAAATATTAACAGTTTCATAAACCTGCCAAGAATTAAGCGTCTTACCAGCTTATTATCACCTACCTGAGAGTAAACATACCCCCACCACCGTCAGACGATGAAGTCTCATCATCAGAATCAGGACCCCAGTCAATACTATCATCATCGTCGTCATCTTCATCATCACTTCCTTTCACAAACTTCTTGGGGGCCCTTGAATAAAAATAGAGCATCAATAAATTGAATAAATCGGAATCAATAAATCTGGCTGCGGGGAGTTTCATCCTTCGAACTATCACAAGGTAACCACAAGGTAGGTAGGCAGAGTTCACTCCTAGCAAAAGTAAGGCAATGAAGCATTGGAGAAGGGATAGGAGACTGAAATATTGGACTGTAACTGCAGTTATCAAAAACAGAGAAGGACCTGGGAGTGAGCATAAAGCCAGTGCTTTAATAAAGCCGATTAAGGCAGTGTCTGGGATGCTCCCGGACGCAGGTTCGAATCCTCGTCACGGCCCTTGTGGATTTGTTCGTGTGATAAAGCCAATATTAACACTAGTAGAATAAACACCAGCAGCACAAGTAAAACTGGCAACACTTGGCACACTTAAAGATTGACTTCAAAAGTATAATGAAGGAACAAATCTATTTGATGCATCACGCAATTGTGATTTGTGTGTGTTATAATGCAGGAATCATTCAGAACATCACAAACACCATACATTAGGGGTCAATTATAGAATATGGAGCACCAACATGGAATCCCAAACATAAAATACAATGCGGAAGAAAAAAATGTGGAAAGTTTAAACACAAATGAGTCACAGACACGGAAATACAAGCAGCCACCTCAGATCAAAGGAAGAAAACTTGAAGCAAAGGTCATGGAAGCCTCCTCAATCCGTACCTATCTAAAAAACCAGTATGAGTGTTTGTCGGAAGGTAGAGTTATCACGTATTCCGAGATATCTCTACTGCCCTTAGCTGACAATTTTCGTTAGCACTCAATTGTCATTTCTCTAGAAAATAGCCCTGAATGTTGGGGTTTCCTTAATAAATTATCCACAAAGAAAGTAAGATTCTTCATACAAGATTGTTGTTTAATACTCAGAATTATTTGGTTTTCTTTTGCATCATTTACTTGTCATAAAAGAAACAATTGCTACAATAAACCAACAATACATAAGATTGTAAATTCTATTTTTTGTAAAAAAGACTGGCAAAATACTAAAGACTACCTCTCAAAAGCCAGATATGACCAGAAATTATTATTTAACTCCTTGTACTTCACTTTATATATTCTCCCAACACCTGCCATTAACATGTCAAAACCATTGTAAATCATCCCATTCTTCTATCCAACAAATTCAATCTAGTGTCTTATTTTGCCATTCTCCATCTTCCATACCTTTTGCTATCAATAATTTCTACTCATTTACTACTACCACACATGGGATAAAGCACAAAAAGAAATACAAACTTGGTAACCGAAGCTTCCTTCTTGAAGGGTGCCGAGTCCATGAGATTGTTATCATCCTCGCTCTCGTCGTCCTGATCGTCCCTGTCAACCTCCGCATCAGAATCTGGAGCATCGGGATTTTCACGGAAAACAGCCATGTCGCCTTCATAATCTTTGGCATATTTTCTATACTTCTGCCGAAGGGTAGTCAAACCCTTGGCATTATTCTTAGACATGTTTTTCCTAAAATTTAACACACATTAAAAAAAATCATACTACTGAAAATACTACAAATATGTTGCATTAGTAAAAATAGAGTACATAGATTTAAGTTGGGTAGAAATTCTGGGGAAACTATAATAATCAGTACAGTAATTCTTGCAAATCCCCCATAGTATGCAGTAAATTTCTTAGACGTCAATTCTTTTGAATAATTACAAATCCCAACAGCAAGCAGAGAAGAAATTATATCATCCACTAACACCATCTCTGTTTTCCTCATTTAACCCTCCATATAAAAGTTAAATATTATAGTAATTTAAAGACTGACAAAGTAAACTTGATATATTAATTCTGTTTCATTTCCCTGGACCATCACGTCACACTATCATTCACAATCTTCAGAAAACAATCATGTAATAATAGACAAAAACATTAATGAAAACACTACAGTGTTTAATCCATCTTTGCTAGTATTGCTGGCCAGGCATGCTTCAATATTAATACACCACTACAATAAGGCCCATATTTACTGGCCTAGCAACTGCTCACATTAATGGTAAGACCTACACCCAGCACAAATTATATTTTAATTTTCTTTAATTAATGTAGTCATATCGTTAAAGACTTGCAAAGGATATTTATCAAATGCTGAGCTAACTTCCTTGAAAAAAAGTATGATTGCCTAAATGTAGAACTGACAAAATCTGACTGTCTAGATCTGAAAGCCAATAACTGGCCAAATTATCAAAGCAATTTTCCATATTTTGTTTAAAAATTAATGACCTGACACCTACTGGCATAATTAAAATCATACAATACAAAATGTGACGCGTCACCACATCAACATACCTGCCAGTCTTGTCCTCCCAGACGCTCTGAATGAAATCATCAAGCTCAGCCAAGCAACGAATATAGAAGCGAGGAGTTTTACCCCCTTCTTCCTTCTGCACTACGGGCAATGCTTTGGCATAAGCACGACACAAGTCCTCAAAACCTGACAAACATCTTTATATTAACTACAGTTCACCTATTAACTCCTACCAAAAGAAAAACTATTACAAGAAAAGGTAAAATGTTGGTAAATGTGAATGAGGATATATGCTTTTTTTATTTGTATTTATGAGGAGTGAAATTCAATTCTTGGGTCTCTCAAAGCTGTTTACCCTCGGGGAACTATTATTGAGGGAGTTGGCCTCTTGGCTCCTCGTGTTCATTTCACCCACAACATACACAGTATATGCCGACGTGTAAGTTGACATTTAAGACCTAAAAATCTCTCCAAAACCAGGGGTTGACTTGTCTGCCAAATATAAAACATGAACCTTTACCACAGAGATAAACAAGTGAAACACCTGGCCTAACACTCTTTGTTCACCATCTCTCATAACTCTCGCAGCCCATCACTATTTCCTACCGAAATTAATGTTAGGTAATTCAATTTAACGTATTTACCATACGCATTAGCGTATAATATCACAAATGCTAACACGCACTACATTACAGTACTAGTAGAAAACATAGCCCTGTAAATGTGTCGTTTACAACAGCTGATCGCCTACCAGTGGTGCCACCAACACCAAGCTGCTATTTTTTTTTTTTTTTTTTTTTTTTAAGATATATACAAGAGTTGTTACATTCTTGTACAGCCACTAGTACGCGTAGCGTTTCGGGCAGGTCCCTGGAATACGATCCCCGCCACGAAGAATCGTTTTTACAACCAAGTACTGTACACATTTTACTGTCGAGTTAAACAGAGGCTACAGTTAAGAATTTGCGCCCAGTAAATCCTCCCCTGTTAGTTGTTGAACTATGGGTTCGTGTGGGAAACTGATATTGATATTACCATTCTACAGCATATTACCAGTATCTCTGTAATAAGATTTTAATACCATTGTGTTTCTGCTACATAACTCATGTTTATTTGTGTAGCCTTAGCGATACCAACAAAGGAAACTTGAGCAATAGTTTAACTTACTTGAAAGTAAACTGGACATATCCTTATTCTTCTTATAGTTCTTGATATTTTTTATGATGTTTTTAAGTTCCTCATAACGCTTTTCCTTGGCAGAACGAACAATACGTTTGGTGTCTTCTTCATCTTCGCTGAACTGTTTATAAATAAAAACTTTTTTAATACAAACATATATGTAACCAACCCACAACTTTCCTTAAATCCTTTTATCAAATAATCTTATTATCAACATTTAAACTTATGACATAAAAATTGCTTCAGACTAATAATGTTATTAAACTATACAAAACTGTACTTATAAAAAAGGATGAATTTAATACTACACTGCCAATATTTCAAGTCGTCATTTTCTTACCGCAAATGCTGCAGCAGAAATTCCAGTTGGCTCATTGATAATTTCCTCTTCACTGGACTCCGACTCCGACTCGGAGTCGGACATGAAGAAACGGGAAGTCATGGTTGAGGTCGTTTAGTTCCAAGTGATGAAAACCTGGAAATTTATATAACAAGAAATCATTCGTAATTCTATCTAAAAATTTTAGCAACTTAAGAGAACATTAGATGCATACCAGGACAGATTGTATTTAGGCACGTATCAATGTTTTTTTTTTTTTTTTAATTAAGTGTATACCAGGACAGAACAAGCACAAAAACAAACAAAAATACAAACAAACACCTTGGATTTTCCTGAAACTTAGTAAAGCTGAAGACGTATACGAGTGATTAACTCTTGTAAAGCTTTAGCAATACTTATTGATCAATTAGTTTCCAGGATATGGGGAGGGTTAGAAATAGCCTTAGCTACTCTATCCTTTTGAGATGTATTTTATTGTCTCAATAACCGTACTTGAACTTTAAGATCACATTTCCAGTTTTTAATTTGTTAAAAATTTGTATCTTAGTTCTTAGGTTACAGAAATCAAAGCAAGGCCATTATCAGGAGAAAGGGCAAAGCCATTACTTTTTTGATAAATTTGAAATTTATGAAGTTAGAATTTTTTTTTTAGGACTGGGGCCAGCAATCCCCCCGGTTCCATAAATTTGAAAATATTTTTTACTACTATATAATCTGAAGTATGGTCTACAACTCATACATGGGTTTTATTGTATATTTTGTTAAAAGTATTTGATTTAATTTTTACAAAACACTACAGTACTTTGGTATTTTTCCACTAAAATTTGCATTCTCTGGAACTCTGGTTTCCCTTCAAAACGCATAAATCTTTCGCCTTTTGCATTGGCAATTTTTTTGTACCACAACCAACAAATTGAATTTCCACATTACAAATAAAAAATATAATATAAAAAACAAACTTTAGCTTATCATCATCTTGTTCAGTTTTGTGTTTGATACGGTAGATCTTGACATGTGTATTCATAAAAATTTACCTAACCTAATCTCAGGGTAACCAGATGTCCGGATATGGTGAAGTTTTCCAGAAAATTATCCAAGAGACGATTTTGACCCGATAACCCGATTATTCAATTCGGCGGACTTCTGATAAACGAGCTCACACAGTATGCCTGGCTAGGATTTAGTCGTACGCTAGGCAACATCTAAAACTGTACAATGTCTTCAGAATATAATAAAGTTGAAAAGCCACAATTATCAGTCACCATATATTCAACCAAACTGGTAATACTTTGTCTGACCAGTCTTTAGTGACTGTAGTGTTCAGTAATTCGACTGGTGTCCTGTATTACATCAGAAAGGGCAAAAACTAACTATACTTTCGTATGGACCCTCACAATTTCATTGGGAAGGGTCTCGGTAGTACAAATGGATTCATTCTAGACTCGTAATCGAGAATTCCGGGTTCAGATCTCAGGACAGAAATGGTCGGGCGCACTTCCTTTCACCTAACGCACGTGTTTACCTAGCGGTAAATAGGTACTAGGGAGTTCGTCAGCTCGTTGTGGGGTTGCATCCTGGGCAGGGTTGACCTGGGGGAGAGGGAGCCTCGATATAAGCCTAACGGGTATTTATCTAATTATGCTCGCGGGGGTTGAGCTTCGGCTCTTTGGTCCCACCTCTCTACCGTCAATCTACTTGTGTACAGATTGTACATGTATGAATTAACTCTAGTTGCCTGACAATCCATATATCTGAGGACTACTGCATATCCCATAAAATAATACAGAAGTAGTAATGAGAGAAAGTCACAATATCAAAGAGCGGCCACGTAGCGTATGGTGTTGGTATGACCACCCACACCACACTACACACACTAACACGTGTGTACAAAATGATTAATTATCAAGAGGAGGCGTCAGGCCGGTGAGACCCCCAGACTCAGGGGTGGAGGCTGCTCCTCCAGCATGGTAGCCGGACCCCACCACCACGCCCTCGGGTACACGCCTCCACACTCCCCCCACCAACCACGCCCTCATACTCATTCCTCACACCACCAGTATGAGCCTCACCAGCACCCAGGCCCCAGGTAGTGAGGCAGGAGGGAGTATGAGGGAGACATGTGTATGAGGACTCACCAGAGACCCGCCGCCACAGCTGCCACACTCACACACGTTCAGCACTCCGACACAAAACTAAATATTCCAATATATAAACATCTTCCCTTGTACTTATATATTTTATAAAATATAAACAATTATTTTGAGTGAGTTTTTAAGATTACTGCGAGTGATGGGGCTCCAGATCTCTGCTTCACTTTCCATAACTGGAAAATATGTAACGACGACAATGGAAGTGAGGCCGCCGGAGTGCTGTATTACCCTGTTGTATCACGCTGCTGTATTGTTGTATCCTGCCCTCTGTACGGCTGCAGGGCTTTCGTAGCCATCTGCTGCATAGTAAGGTCTTCACTTCTTAATATTATGTAATAAAGAAGGGTAATTCAACAACAGGAGCCAGGCTGCCCGGTGACCAAGGGAGACCAGAGGGGCTATTGGGGACTGTCTAGGACGGTGGGGGACTGACCAGGCCGGTGGGGACTGACTAGGACGGTGGGGGACTGACCAGGCCGGTGGGGACTAGCCAGGACGGTGGGGACTGTCTAGGACGGTGGGGACTGACTAGGACGGTGGGGACTGTCTAGGACGGTGGGGACTGTCTAGGACGGTGGGGGACTGTCTAGGACGGTGGGGGACTGTCTAGGACGGTGGGGACTGTCTAGGACGGTGGGGACTGACTAGGACGGTGGGGACTGTCTAGGACGGTGGGGGACTGTCTAGGACGGTGGGGACTGTCTAGGACGGTGGGGACTGACTAGGACGGTGGGGACTGTCTAGGACGGTGGGGACTGTCTAGGACGGTAGGGGACTGTCTAGGACGGTGGGGGACTGACCAGGCCGGTGGGGACTGTCTAGGACGGTGGGGACTGTCTAGGACGGTGGGGACTGTCTAGGACGGTGGGGGACTGACCAGGCCGGTGGGGACTGTAGGACGGTGGGGACTGGCGAGTACGGTGGGGACTGGCGAGGACGGTGGGGACTGGCGAGTACGGTGGGGACTGACGAGGACGGTGGGGACTGTCTAGGACGGTGGGGACTGTCTAGGATGATGAGGACGGTGGAGACTATCTAGGACGGTGGGGACTGACCAGGACGGTGGGAACTCACCAGGACGGTGGGGACTCCACGGTGGGGACAGGGTGGGGACTGGGAACTGACCAGGCGGTGGGGACTGACCAGTGGGGACTGACCAGGACGGTGGGGACTGACCAGGACGGTGGGAACTGACCAGGCCGGTGGAGACTGACCAGGACGGTGGGGACTGACCAGGACGGTGGGGACTGACCAGGACGGTGGGAACTCACCAGGACGGTGGGAACTCACCAGGGTGGTGGGAACTGACCAGGCCGGTGGGAACTCACCAGGCTGGTGGAGACTGACCAGGCCGGTGGGAACTGACCAGGCCGGTGGAGACTGACCAGGACGGTGGGGACTGACCAGGACGGTGGGGACTGACCAGGACGGTGGGGACTGACCAGGACGGTGGGAACTCACCAGGACGGTGGGAACTGACCAGGGTGGTGGGGACTGACCAGGACGGTGGGAACTCACCAGGACGGTGGGAACTCACCAGGACGGTGGGAACTCACCAGGGTGGTGGGAACTCACCAGGCCAGTGGGAACTCACCAGGCTGGTGGAGACTGACCAGGCCGGTGGGAACTGACCAGGCCGGTGGGAACTGACCAGGCCGGTGGAGACTGACCAGGACGGTGGGGACTGACCAGGACGGTGGGGCTAACAAAGGATGGTGGGGACTGACGAGGATGGTAGGGGACTGGCGAGGACGGTAGGGGACAGACGAGGACGGTAGGGTACTGATGAGGACGGTAGGGGACTGATGAGGAAGGTGGGGACTGACAAGGACAGTGGGGACTATGCAGGTCATTCCGTTTGAGTGATATGTTTTTATATCAGGCACAACTAATAACATTTGAATTCTTCTTGAAAATAACTTCACTGACTGAATATTCAAAATGCACTCCTAATAATGATTCCCACTTTGGATACGTCAGTATGCAGCTAAAAGGTTAAACACAATATAGATTATGTCATTCCCACCTATGCTGTTCCTTTTAATTTCTCCAAATTAGTCAGCATTATATAACTAAAGCACTACAGCTGCATCAAAATGATTAACAATTCCTCATTTCTGTCTTAATATGTTAACCTCAATTTCCATGTCAAAGTTAATATAAATACTGTATTATATATATATTCCAGGTGGCAAATTGTGATCAAGATGATCAACTTGAAGATATCGTTTGTGATTACCAGACATGCTGCAAAATTACCTTTCTGTAACACATACAAAGCACCTCGGATCTTTTTGATCCAAGATCTAAGAGGCCAGCAGTTACATTGTAGACAATATACAATACCCTGTCAAAGAGACTTTATTCCTTGTCTCCCAAAAATCTCAGTGCAAGAGCGAAGATTACAGCAGATTTGTTCCACTAAGAATACAGCAAGTAAAATCCAAGCCCGAACATTTTTTTCACCATTCCGCAGAAACAAAATCCAGAATATTGGAATAAGTGATAATGTAGACTCTCACTATGAATTGATTTATACCAATGATGCCATTTCTTATATAAGATTAGGAGTAGGTGGGGTGAACATCCTTGGTGCAGGAGTAGGCACAATGTTGTGTCTGAATGCCTTCAATGTGGTAAATACAAATTTAGAGGTAATAAAGAATTCACCTTTGGAAGTAAGTATATTTGTCAGTGTTAATGTTTTAATGATCATAGGACTTTTTAAATTAGCGCACATTTATCCATTTCGTATATATTACAGTGAGTTGGAGGACGAATTCATTGCAGTATTCAGTGGTATCCATCCATTTGCAGTGCGCACATTAAAAATAAAGCCAGGGGAGGTGCAGCTTTTATCAAGTAACTGGACTAAACCAATTATTCCCTGGTTATCCAATATATATGGTTTGCCTTCTCAGAAAATATATCTTGATGTTCATAGGTTCATTTACCCTGTGTATTACAATAAATTGCTTGGGTACTGTTAACAGGTAACTGCTAATAGTTTTAGTGTAATTGAAAATGTAAATACAGTACAATATTGTAACAAGTATATAGAAAGTGAGTTGTGAGCTAACATGATAGCTATGGTTGGCACTAAAGGTTTGCCGGTTTCACTACAATCTTAATATAGAAATGTATTCGATATAAGACTGCAAATTATATAAGTAATAGAACTTAAAACTTATTAATGACCCTAATTATGTTTTGCACACATTCTTTGAGCTGCTCAAAAAAAAAAAGTGGTAATTACTCCATTTGAATACTAAAGAAATGTATTACCATGTTTTTTCCATCCTGGCGAGGTTTCCATGCAACATGAGAACCATTTACACATTAGCTTGAAACTTGAAATACTTTACAATCATAGAAGTAAAAGCACCTTTTTAAATCAGGTAGTGTAGCTAAATGACATCTTTGCTTTTGACTGGTCTTGCTAGGTTGTCATGTAATATCTGGTCTGACTAATAAGGTCCCGGTAATAGTCGGGTTCGTTCTCGACTTAAAATGAAGTACAGTATTCTGGGCGAGACAGAAATGGTTAGCCACATTTCCTATCCCTTAACGTACCTGTTCACCTAGCAGTAAATAGGTACCCAAGAGTTAGTCCGCTTCTTGTGGGGTTATATCCTAGGGAGGGTCAGTAATTCAACCATGGAAGGAGGGGGGTAGTACTTCAATATTAGCCTAACATGTACAGTGTAAACTATCTGCCTGTCCCCACAACACAATTATTATTATTATTATTAAACCTAACTAGACCTAGGTGAAGTGGGCATTGGAGGGTTGGTATCCCTATTCGTCCCAGAGTTGGCATTCAGATGCTCCACTGATTATCCGTGTATACTCACTTTTCTCTGGGGTCACTCGAGTACTTGTACTTTCCCTTGTTGGGCTCTGTGATGGGTAAGGAGTGCTGGGAAATGAAGTTTAATATATCCTGGCAATACTAGGACAAATTGTTCTTCTCCCCATACTCACTATCAAGTGCAGTGATGCCCTCCCTGCTTTCTCCCACACATGCATGATTGGTGGCTGAGGATGACATGTTATCAATCGTGTGCTGAAGTAAGTAATTATCAAAGAAGGCCCCAAGCCGGATTGCATGTTGAAGCTGATGTTGGAGGGAAGAGGGGTTGCCACCAAAACTATTTCCTGGTGGCAAAGTGGGAACACACTGCCACCACGAGTGATTTGGCCTATGTTCGTCGTCTCGTCAGGGAGGATTGTCTAGGCATCAATCATTAACTATATGCCTCTCTGCCCAGTAGTGATTGGGTACCTGGTTAAATGATTGGCTGGTCATATCCATGGAAAGTCATGGGTAAATCTTAGCCACTCACGAGTCAAGCTTGTTCCCAGGCCAGACTTTGGGAGTAAAAGAACTCAAACCCATCCAGGTATCATGAGCTATGGAAAGGGAAAGCTCTCGACCTGCTAAAAAGAGTTGGTATTCGTGTTCCTATACCCACCTGTGTAAAAGGATAAAAAAAAAAGCAGGCAAGATCATGAACATAAGGGCAGAGAAAACACCAAGAGAAATAGAGGGAGACCATTTAGGGTAACCAGAAATAGAGTAATGCTCTGGAACACTACCTTGGGGGACACCTTCATACTGTAGTAAAGGTTCTAGAAAGCACCACCAACCCTCACTTGAACTAGCATCGAGAGAAAGAAGCCTTGAAGGAAAAGTGGGTGATTGAAACTAAAACCAAAGGAGTGCAGATAGGATAAAATATTTAAATATAAAATATCAAGGTCAAAAAGAACTGCCATAGTGGAGGAATTCACAGCAAAGGCAACATGAATGTAGACTTCAGTCCACCAAAATGTCCATCGTGCTGGAACACTTAAATTGGGAGAGGGGGGGGGAAGACAATGATGCTCCAGAAACCACAAGAGACGCTCATTAATCATATGCCCAGAGTTTGCCTTGACAAGTTGTATCTGTCATCATGATAAAATCCTTAGGGGAAGTCCCCGAGTACCAGATTTCCTAATGGGAAGAACTGCCTAGAGGTAGTCACTGGGACCGAAGAAGACGCCCAAATATCATCATAGATATACAACAAATACTACAAGGAATGATGACCAAACCAAACATAAGAAAGTGGAGGATAGATGACAATGACATCTTGCCATTGTGTGAATCTGGACACCGATTCATACAATGGCAAGATGGTAGTCCAAACACCCATTGAAATTCTTGCAGTGATCTGATGACCTTAATATCCTCTCCAGTGGGTGTATTTGCAGACGAAAGATGGAATATAAGCCACCCACATCTGCCCAAGACCCCACCCCCTCCCCCTATAAGAGGAGTGATCACTGAAGTTACAAATAAAACTGAATGTTAGGTCATCCTTTATTATACGATAATATTTACAATATCACTCACAAACAAAATTTGAAAAAATATTTCAAATTACTTTTATTCCAATGACGGCATATGAATAATAGGAACTTTCCATGATGCGAATATTCTATCTGGAAAAATGTGAGGTTCACTAACAGTGCTTTAAATTTGGTTGCCATAAATGTTTGCAGATTTGTAATTTCAATTTTATTTACTAATGAAAGTTTAAATGAATAAATGAACCTTTATTTTGAGTAAAATATATTGGTTCCCAAGAGATTAAAAATTAATATGTAGATACAACGCACACTAAGAAATAAAGTGCCCACTAAAATTACTATTTAAGGCTTACAGATTATTAACTCAATTTTCCGTTTAGATTCATAGGGGCCACTCAATGTTTTCTTTTCTATTAACGATATTTGATGTAAATAAAATGCTTTATCCAATTTTACCAGCCACTATTCTCATAAAATTTAGGCCAGGAGATATTAATTAATATAGAATTTAGAAAATGTGACAAGCATTCAAACAATTTATATTAATATTTTCAAAATTCAATGCAACTCAAAGTATGATTTCCAACAACTCATTTCATAAAATTACTGAGTGGAATGCAATACATTCACTTGCAACAATGGTTGGTCTTTAATGATTTCAAGTACCACATAATTGTTTACTTATTTTATGAATTCAAGTCATGCAGTTGCACATAGCCACACAAAAAAGGGATGAGGCAGGAAGGCAAAACCAGTTATGTTACATTGCATCAAGCATGATAGTCAAATATCCTATTAGAAGTTTCTTCAAACTGTCTTCCTGCAAATTACTTCCATTGCTTGTCCATGCATTTTTAGACATTATTCCACAGAACATGGTAAAAAAATAACTTGCCACTAAATCTGTAAAATTATATATCAAACCCCACAGAGGCGTGTTCCACGCCTACCAAATGCGATTAGGTTATATAGGTATCCTTGACCAAACCACACCCTAGAAAGTGAAGGGACGACGACAGTTCGGTCTGTCCAGGACCATTCTCACAATCGACTTGAGAATGGTCCAGGACGGACCAAAACGTCGTCGTTCCTTCACTTTCTAGCGTGTGGTTTAGTCAACGTATTTCAGCCACGTTATTGTGACTCCTCATCTGCATAGGTATTCTTGCCCAATTTATGATTATTGATGGTGAGATTTTACGACTTAAAATTACATCTATTTAGGACATCTTGTGATGGTGTCTACTACACGCCACCATTTACTACATTGTTGACAAACACATGCTCACATTTCAATACCTTCTTGGAGCAAATGTCTTCATAAATTTTATACTACTGCACAGAGCCAATATATTAATCAAAATTCCCCAGCATGTAATCGTGAATATAATTACAACAGTATCTTACAGTAGCTGGTACATTATCCAGATAAAATATAGTTTACTTGTTAATTTTTTTCTGTATTGAAAAGCATTTCTTCATAGTTTTACAAGATACAGGCAAATCAGTCTTAATATTGATATTCATAATTCTTCATTGGCAGAAACAAATTCGGTAAGCCTTTCATCAACACAAAAGGCAACTCCTACATTAGGCTAAATGCGTTATATAAATCGCTGACAAGAAGCTTATTGTAAGGTCAATATTGGAATCACTGGAGGGGGTAAATCTGACATACAAACTTAGTATAATATAATATTGATACATACTATAACCTAATGTCACTAATAAGAATAATATACTAATATGGCAGTCACACTACTGAGCAATTGTAAATACTTGCATGGTCTATAGTGCAATTTTGGTGTTAAAACAGTACAGCACTGTATAAAATACCGTACAAGAATTAAAACAAAGGAAACACTAAAGAAAGGCGTTTAAAAGAAAAAATTTCATAGAAGGCTAATTGCAAATTGAAGCAAATATTGTGCAGTAGTGCACCATTCATTGAGAATCAGTAAAAATGGTACAAATTTTAAACAATTGTTGTATGCTTCATAGTCAAAATTATTCGTTAAAGAATACAATGACATTATTTGTTAAAGAATAGGATGACAGATGATATTCTCAATTACTCCAACTTGGGTTTAACAATTTTCACAACTAATTATTTATAAGCAACTGAAATTACAAGTGAAAGCAAACTGCCACATGGAGGTTCTTAATTGCTTTAGAAAAATTAACAATAAAGTGCAAGACTCAAACAATAAATGTGAATCGCTGAAAAGGTATCACCACCTATCGTAGTCTTTCGTCATCAACTGTAACATTAAAAATATATTTCACATGGACTTAACTTCAGACACTAAAGGTAAAGGCAATCGTTGGTCCTAATTGGGTTCTAAGCTGCATAATATTCTTTAACATAAAACAGATGAAGTTGGCTGGAGACCGACACTAACGATGACAAGGACCGAGTACAAGTTGGTGTTCGAGTCCTATAACTTCAATATTAAATAATGATCATTTTACAAGTTCATACTCCAGGTCAATACTAGGTACCCATTCTATAAAAATCATCAACACAAATAGGATAATATTACATTATTAAATTTGCAGGACAACATTTTTCCAGCATATTTTATAGTTGAAGATCACGCGTTCACAGAATGTATTCTACAAAATGAGTCGCAACCCAAGTAAACATGTATTCACTGCAGTTATCCTTCCAAGACCCAGTGCATTAAATCTATTCCAATTATAAAACATTAGAAAATAAAACTGTATTAAGAATTTAAGTGTAAACTGAAGGTCCATTTTCCAGGCATGTAATCAAAACTACACACATTCAACGCAGCCTCCCACTCTTACATACAGACAACC